CATGCGTGGTGAATGGTGGTGCATTGTTTAAAAAAATCAGGTCAAGTATATTATTTCGTCGAGTACAGCTACTAACAACTCGGACCTATCCACTGGTTTCTAAGGTTTGAAAGAATGGCTTGAAACGAGATGGCTTATGCAGTGTCTCTCATGGGATACTGGGCATATTAAAATCATCGTTTAATACTATACAAGTCGGTAGGGACGACAGCAGCCTGAACATTTCGTTGGTACGTCCGTCAACGTCAGGTCCAGTGCGTGGTGACCTATATAGGCAATCAACGGTAATGTTTGAAAGGTTGGCAAGTGTTGATATTCACGAATACTGCAGCATCTTGAAGGTCCCAATACAACGGAAAGGCATTTGAAGATGAAAAATCTGAGCGACCTTTAACAGTGGAGTCTCCACCTGTCCAATTATTTTCTTGTTCTCGAATGTGATTTCAAGCTTATATATAGACTATAATTGGTGTCTTTCAGTAGCGAACGGGATGTGTATGCCTGAATTTCAAATTATGGTATAAATTATCCGAAGGTTGCGTGGCTATTTACCAGGAATAACCAGGATCATTAGGGAAGAGTTTCGGTCGGTATGTGTGTGAGCGTCTCGGAAGCAGAAAAATTAGTGTGTGGCCCCGCCCTAATTTCTTCATTTATATTTTTTCCCCTCGGCTGATAACCTTAGACGGAATTGCTTCTCATATTGTTCATTCATTGAGTGTACGGGCGATTCGGAAAACCTTATCAACATGTCAGGCGGTATTTTCCTGTTTGAAGCCAAAGCGTTGGCGGACTTGCATGTTATGGGCAGCACAAGACTGAGCCAAATAAAATTTCGGACATATAGGTCGCAGCAACCCCCTTGAAATCTTAGATGCAGCGCCTGGTTGGGTGAGCCCAAACTCGTGAGACGATAAAGCTTCCTTAAGGCTGAAGATGGGCGGGGGTCACTCCGGAAAAACACTCAGGGTTCAGTCAACATCCAATCAGGGGTGTGTTAAGCGTTACGCCTGAGAAGGGAAAATAAGGAGTCAGCTTGTGGCTAGAACGTAATCTTCGTCGAACTTCTCTTCTGAGGTGCTCACTTCACACCGCATGTCTTGCATACAGCAAGACATCCGCAGCAAGCCAGCCACTCCTCTGGCAATTCACGTTGAGGCCGATTCCCGATGACAAGGACGCATAACCGCGTTCCCATAAACAAGCCATAATGTCCCGATGCGCATCCACGGCTGTTTCCGTTGTGAGATCACCTATTCATTCAAAATAGCCTCATCCGGTTGACTAGACCAGTAGTTAGTAGCCGGTACTAAGCCCGGATAAAGAGGGAAGGTTAGGAATAGGGCTAGCCACCCTACCCCGGAAAACCAACCTAACCGCTACAGAAATTTCAAAGCACAGAGAAAATATAAACAACAAGAATACACTTATTCCTCGTTAGTACTGGAGAGAGGACATGACGCTGGTTGGTCAAAGCCTTCGGGAAGCCGATCGCCTGGCGTATCTACTCTCGACGAAAGAGGAGGTAAGCATGGGGATATGGAATGTCCACACCACGCATGAACCTAGCAAGACTGCCCAGATTGCAAAAGAGGTGACGAGATACGGCACGGAAGTGCTTGGAATCTACGGAAGCAGATGGGATGGAAGTGAACACTCCAAACTGTCAACTGGAGAGTCAATATTCTGATCCAGACGACAGCCACGAGCATAATGACTTTTCGAGTGGTCATCATGATGTCGCCGAGAGCATCAAAGACCCTCATGCAGTGGGGAAAAATCACCTCCAGGATCAGGATCATGACAGCAAGATTCAGCTCAAATGGAGGGAGGCATTGTGTACAAACACAAGGATATTCACAAGGCAGCAACATGGAGTTCACCGCACACCAGATACACTAAAAATCAGATCGACTTGATCTCAATGCGAAGAAAGCGGAGACGCAGCCTACTGAAGACAAGATCAAGAGGAGGAGCAGCTGTAGGTGATTCACACCAATCACCACCTAGTGCAAGGAACGTACCTTCAAAATCAAGTTGAAAGCCTTCAAGGAAGCTGGTGACAGATCACACTTCAAGTTCAACACCCAGAACAGAAACTGAAGGACAAAACTACGAACAACATCTTCACGTCGGTCAGCCATCAGGACAAAACGGCAGACATTAAGCAGCACTTCTGAAGAAACCTGTGTGGAAGAACACTGGAATTATTTGAAAGAGATGTGGAAAGAAACCTGCATAGGCGTACTAGGAAGGAAGAGGAAACAAGACAAGTAGTGGATCTCGACGGACACATGAAAGCTGACAGGGGAGGGAGAGGAAGATGGTGAGGCAGAAGATGAACCAGTGCAAGGACGCGTAACGAAGAGAAGAACTGAGTACAATGTACAAAACGTTGGACAAATAAGTGAAGAAGAGTGCGCACAAAGACAAAAGACACTTCTACGACACACTGGCAAGTGAAGCAGGACAGGATGCTGGTGAGACAGACAACGACCTGACAACACTAAATTAGATAACTAGGTCACTATCTGGTAAGAGATCAACCCAGATGAAACCAGTGATAGATAGTGAAGGAAACCTAGTTACCAAAGAGGAGGAAGAAATGAAACGATGTGCTGACCACTTCAGAAGCTCTTGAATTGACCACCACCTGCAACTCGTCCAGAAATACCACCAGCAGCCCAGCCACAGAATTACCAGTGAACACAACCCTCCAACATAAGCACAAGTGGAGCAACGAACTCTGTAAAGCCGCTGAATTCCTCAAAAACCTGTACCAATTCATGGCGAAGAGAAATTCCACAAGTCAAGGAGCCTGCCTCATCAAAGGTCCGAACGGGAAAACCCCTTTTGACCGGGGATCGCTGAAACAGTCAGCGTCCTTTTGCCGCACAGCTCAACGCCACAGCTTGCAAGCAGGTATACCCACTGCGCAAACAGCTCCGAAAGTTATCCAATACAGAAGAGCTAAGCGAAGTACAGAAAACTCAGTGTTTTCCCAAGATGTGACAACATTTGCCCATCTGTGTTGATATAATGTCCAAGCACCCTACGTGGCTCACTCCGTAGTCTTATCCAAAACTCCATAAGTGAACAAAGACTCCCACGGGTGTGGAAGGGGGCCATCTCTCCTATCTTCAAAGGAGAAGACAGACAGAATCCGAACTGTTACCGGCGCAGGGCACTTTAACCAGTCACATCAAAAGTTATGGGAAGGGTGATAGATGACCGCATCAGGGAATATATGGATGCGACGCAAGAAGCAAGTGATGGCTAGCCTGGCTTCCGGAAGTGTTGGCCCTGTGCCTCCAACTCGCTGGCAGCCAGTCACCACTGGACACCATGCTGGACCCGAAGGTCTCTGCCCTCGCAGTTTTCTTGAATTTCTCCAAAGCCTCCGGTACAGTCTCACACACTACCTCAATACATAAAGTAGGTGGGTTAGGTACCCCACGGTCAGCTGCTAGCGTGGCTGCAGAACTGCTTAGATAGTAGGGAGTTCTGTGCTAAAGTCAACTTGGAGAGCGTCATCGTCCGGTGCATCATGAGAAAAGACTCCGGGTCCGCTGTAGTTCCTACTATTCGTGAATGACCTTCCGCTGCTAGTAAGCCTTTCACTTCTTTTTCACGCCGACGAGGTCAAGTTATGGGGGCAATAATGCGCGAAACGGAAGTGGCTGCACTACAGGACGACCACGAAATACTCGAGGGGTGAGCGACAAACAATGAATTGGCACTTAACCTGAATAAATGCCGGTTCGTGTTTTTCCGCACTCCTCATACCCGGAAATTATCCTCCTATCCGTCTGCGGTTCACATCCTTCGCATGACGCAGCAGAAAATGACCCGGATATGGTGGAGACAGAGAAACTAGACACCAGTCCCAATCACTCGGGAGATGCCTCGAAAGCATACTCTGTACGACACTTTGTGCGTAGATAACTAGGTGCTGTCAACACGGAGCTCCTTCTGAAACCCAACAAGACCTGTACACTAGCATACTTTAACGTCCACAAAGTCCACGCTCCACCACACCTTGGAAAACGCACGAACCTTCTGGATAATGTTGAGAGGTAAACCATTCGGCGCATTTGGTGCATTCAAACAAGTCTTTTGCTTCTTGGTGCTGGAGTTGAGAAAGTGAAGACGTTTGGCTTTCAGTCATAATATTCATCAAGATTATGAATCTTTGTTGTGGAATGGTATTAACTTGCATGAATTATACAGTCCTGGAATCATCAATGAAGTACAATATGTAAACAATTCATAAACTTTTCATCATAATCTCAAGTAAAAAATACAAACTGTTAGAATTGAAGTATTAGCTTCAAGCTTTATTTTTCTCCAGGTAATACCTGTAATGTCTAGATACAAACCTGGTTTTTTTTGTTAATGCGAAGACAATACTTCCACTCGTCTAACTTGTAAATTTTCTGCACGCTTATTCTGCTGGGATGTTCGATTACATGAACATGCAGCACTTATATCTTCTAGTGACAACGGGCAGGGATTGAGATTACCCTCCATGAAGATGAATGTAATTTGTACATAAACTTATTCATACCTGTAAAATGGTGTGTGCCTGTATATTCAGGAATAAATATTATTATTATTTCACTTTTTATTGCCTTGTGCTCACACACATTTGCCTTCCTAGGTTACCTTTTCAATATTCCTAACTCTCCCTCGCGATCAGTCCGAACAAGTGTCTGGCAACCCGACATCTGAAGAACCCAACTACAACGCAGTTCATTTCAAACTGGCTAATACTCAACCTCCTGTTCTCAATATCACAGCTATAGCAGACGAGTGACTTGATATACTGCACCAGGACCAGCCAAATACCTGAAACCGTCCTGCAAGAACTAGAAGCGAGCATAAATAAATCGGCTGCATTACACAAGCTAGTTAAATAGACATTTGTTATTGGATATTGAACCAATGACCTACATGTAAGTGTCATAACAACCAGTCATTATTTCAAAACACAACCTAAAATGTCTTCTACTGACTCCCTAGTTCGTAACTTCAATGATATTGACCCACCGAAAACCGACCCAGAGGGCTTGAAATGCTGTAAAAAAGCGATTAATGCCGGAAGTATTATTTTAGGACGTCATAATGAAGACGTGCCTGTTAGTTAGTTTTCTCACTGTTTTTACTTTTTTAGGTGAAACCATCTTTGTTCATTCAAAAAATGTCATTGTCTTCAGAGGACTTATATAAGGAGCTGATTTATGGTCACGTTCCAGAGACACTAGCACTGCATGACATGTCTTTAATCGGAGACCAAAAGGTATTAGGCTTACTTTTCACAAACTGTCTCAGATAACTTCTTTCCCCATCAGTCGTCCACTTTTTCAGCCATTTCCGTCTGAACTTGTTTTCCAACGCTTTGAGGCAGGGAAGTCCTATGAGTTGCCATTATTACTTCGTAACATGGATAAGGTTTGCTGGTGCATATTGATGAAGTATATATCATAGGTATCAAGAACAGCTCATCTCATCCAGAATGATACACCTTACTTCAGAATAAAGCGACTGAATTCGCAAGGGTCAAAGGTCGCAGCTGGATTATCACTTTCCTTCTCAATAGTCTTCACTCCTGACGTTCATCAAGATTATCGTCATGATCTCATGTGTGTAACTGATAGGGAATTATTTTCCATACCAGTCTTCTGCATCGGTCCAAGGGCAATTCTTGACCTCCCTGATGAAATTTGTTTCGGAGAAGTTCCTGTGAAAGTGACAAATAAGAAGGTACTCGGTATAAGAAACACTGGAGATGGTATTGCTATGATAAAACTGGATACTGCAAAGTGAGCTATATAATTTATTCACGTCAGACCTTTCTTTGTTGATCCCGTTGTCCTGAAAGTTGCACCTGGTGCTCTAGAAGAAATTACTATCTCCTTTATTCCTGAAAGTACTGACAACCTTTGTAGGAAGATGTTTATTGTTTATAACACTGGTAACTCAAAATTTGCATTTATATGACTTTACTCACAGGAGAAAAACTTCAAATTGATCTCCATGGTAAGGGAGTTGAAGCACCGGTAAACTTGAAGGATAAAGATATAAATTTGAATGGAACTTTTATCGGTTTGCATACACAAGCAAGTGTTTTTATCGAGAACAATTCTTCTGACTTTGTGAGCTACAAATGGAGCCCATTCCGAAATCCTGGAGAGGAGTCCTCTGTGAATGAAATACTAATCGGAACTTTTAGCGACAAGCAGGATTTCGAGTCCGAACTGAAACAAAAGTTAATAACGTGGATAAGAAATTTTTCTGAGCAACAGATTGTAAGTGCATTTTACAGTATCTGTTATGAGAAGTATCAAATGATGAATTTTCTATCAGTTCTTAATCTAAGATTTATTTGCTATAATCTTCACAATGAATTGTGGTTTATCAACCGTTTTAAAGTGGTTTCTTGCAAAAACAACAAGACTTAACCACAAATATTTTTGAACCATAAGTCTTCAGTGAATAGTTTCGCCCGAGTGAAGTGTAGCAGTGGTTCAAGCGAATCTGATATAGCAGACTTCAAAATTGTATGTGGTTCCAATGATGACCTAATTTTACACCTAGTTGGCATACATGGACAAGCTGATAAGTATTCTATCCTTTCCTTGTAGCATATATAATCCCCAGTGTATGGATTATTATCATTATTTTCCCTTGGGTTCCTAGTGGGATATAGGGCTTCAGTAACACGCGTCCACTGCACTCTGTTTTCTACAGTCTTTTGAACCTCACTACATGACTGCTCAGAAGTTTTCATTTCTCCCTCACACACAGTCTCCTACATGACAGCCTCGCACGCCCAACTCGTCGTTTCCCCTTTGGATTCCACTCGACAGCCTCTTCTGGCCTGGTGCATGATGTCCCCAATCAGCCTCCACAGTGTATGCTGAATCCATCCCCACTTTCTTCTGCATATTTTTTGCGTGATAGGTTCTTGGTTGGTCTGTTCCCAGAGTTCCTTGTTGTTCATTCTCATTATTCTGGCCATCTGACCTTCATTATCGAGTGAATGAGCGTAGGGACAGCTGTTGATGAATGTCTGTAGTTTGTTGAAAATACTTTTCGTGACACGCCAAGTTTCTGAACCATAAAGCAGCACTGACTTGACACTGGTGTTGAAAATCCGGATCTTGTTCCACTTGCTGAGTGCAGAAGATCTCCACACTGGTTCCAGGCTGATGAAAGCAGGCCTATCTTTCTTTTCCAAACCTGGTTTTGACGTCCTAATCTGTGCCTGTGCCACCTGTAGTTGAAATAATGCTGCCTGCCTAGGTAGGTGAAATAGACTAATTTCCTTAGATTTCTCGCATTGATGGTGATTGGTGGTTGTTGCTGATGCTGATGCTGTTTTTGGTTTAGTGTGTTCACCACCTCCGTCTTCTCTACATCCACTTGAAGTCGTGTTTTCGCTGCTCTGCCTCTTCTGTCAACTTGTTAGTTTTCGCCTATGGATCTTCGAGTTTGTGCCACAAGACATCATACATTAATCATCATGGGCGAAATCCAAATCTTCTAGGCTCTTTCCACTGGTCCAGCCAGCGTTAGCCCATCTTCTCGCTCCTCATGGTTTGCTACATGATCCAGTCTACAACAATCAGAAAGATCATCGTTGATAGTAGGTGGTAACCTTGTCTTACTCCCGTTTTTACTTCAAAGGCGTCACTGAGCTTTCCACTGTGGATCACTTGGCATGTGGCATCTTCATATAGCTATTGAATGAGGTTGATAAAGGTTTGCGGTAATAAAAGCGTAGCGTTGAAGCAGTTGCCAAATTGCTTCTTCGTCGACGCTGTAAAAGGCTTTCTCAAAGTCGATGAAGTTGAGGTAGAGAGTTGACTGCCATTCCATCATCTGTTCTATGATGATGCGTAGCGCTGCGATTTCCTCCGTACATGATTTGTTGTTCCTGAAGCCCGCCAACCTGTTCCGGTCGTCATTTTGAATCCAGAGCACCTTTTTATCCCTCCAGTATGACGCGGCCTATTATTTTGCTTGCTGTGGGTGGAAGGCAGTATGATTTCTCACCAGGTCTCCCTTCCTCAGGACTTTGACAAGGTAGCCCTTATCCAATCAATGAGCAAGTACTTTTCTTTCCTTCCAAACCTTCTGCAGTAGTGGTGTGAGCATGTCCGCTGTTGTCTATGCATCTGTTTTCAGTGATTCTAGTGGAATTCCATCTGATCCTGCAGCTTTCTCGGATTCCAGCGGCTTTACAGAGTTCGTTGCTCCACTTGTGCTTATGTTGGAGGGTTGTGTTCACTGGTAATTCTGTGGCTGGGCTGCTGGTGGTATTTCTGGACGAGTTGCAGGTGGTGGTCAATTCAAGAGCTTTCTGAAGTGGTCAGCACATCGTTTCATTTCTTCCTCCTCTTTGGTAACTAGGTTTCCTTCACTATCTATCACTGGTTTCATCTGGGTTGATCTCTTACCAGATAGTGACCTAGTTATCTAATTTAGTGTTGTCAGGTCGTTGTCTGTCTCACCAGCATCCTGTCCTGCTTCACTTGCCAGTGTGTCGTAGAAGTGTCTTTTGTCTTTGTGCGCACTCTTCTTCACTTATTTGTCCAACGTTTTGTACATTGTACTCAGTTCTTCTCTTCGTTACGCGTCCTTGCACTGGTTCATCTTCTGCCTCACCATCTTCCTCTCCCTCCCCTGTCAGCTTTCATGTGTCCGTCGAGATCCACTACTTGTCTTGTTTCCTCTTCCTTCCTAGTACGCCTATGCAGGTTTCTTTCCACATCTCTTTCAAATAATTCCAGTGTTCTTCCACACAGGTTTCTTCAGAAGTGCTGCTTAATGTCTGCCGTTTTGTCCTGATGGCTGACCGACGTGAAGATGTTGTTCGTAGTTTTGTCCTTCAGTTTCTGTTCTGGGTGTTGAACTTGAAGTGTGATCTGTCACCAGCTTCCTTGAAGGCTTTCAACTTGATTTTGAAGGTACGTTCCTTGCACTAGGTGGTGATTGGTGTGAATCACCTACAGCTGCTCCTCCTCTTGATCTTGTCTTCAGTAGGCTGCGTCTCCGCTTTCTTCGCATTGAGATCAAGTCGATCTGATTTTTAGTGTATCTGGTGTGCGGTGAACTCCATGTTGCTGCCTTGTGAATATCCTTGTGTTTGTACACAATGCCTCCCTCCATTTGAGCTGAATCTTGCTGTCATGATCCTGATCCTGGAGGTGATTTTTCCCCACTGCATGAGGGTCTTTGATGCTCTCGGCGACATCATGATGACCACTCGAAAAGTCATTATGCTCGTGGCTGTCGTCTGGATCAGAATATTGACTCTCCAGTTGACAGTTTGGAGTGTTCACTTCCATCCCATCTGCTTCCGTAGATTCCAAGCACTTCCGTGCCGTATCTCGTCACCTCTTTTGCAATCTGGGCAGTCTTGCTAGGTTCATGCGTGGTGTGGACATTCCATATCCCCATGCTTACCTCCTCTTTCGTCGAGAGTAGATACGCCAGGCGATCGGCTTCCCGAAGGCTTTGACCAACCAGCGTCATGTCCTCTCTCCAGTACTAACGAGGAATAAGTGTATTCTTGTTGTTTATATTTTCTCTGTGCTTTGAAATTTCTGTAGCGGTTAGGTTGGTTTTCCGGGGTAGGGTGGCTAGCCCTATTCCTAACCTTCCCTCTTTATCCGGGCTTAGTACCGGCTAGTAACTGGTGAACTAGTTAACCAGGCCATGCTGCTGTATGGATTACTCAGACATATTTATTTTCTTGATTCGCATACTCTTAAAATACTCAAAGTACAGTGAATATCTTCAGAAATTTTTACTTGTACATTTAGTTTTTGTGTCTTTCTTCCGGGTGGCATTGTAAATAAGGTTAATCATCTGGAAGTATCGTTTTAGTCTCTCTCTTTCTGAGTGATGCTTTGAAGTTACTGTCATGAAACTGTTCTTTAGATACTTGATAAAATATTTTTATATGTGTTAGTATGATTTGGAGGCCCCTAGAACTTTAATTTGTATTTAAGTTATCAGGTTCCTGTTACTAGCCGAAGCTTGACTTTTAGCTTTTATTTTGCAGAAATAAACATAAACATCGACCAAATAAATAATCACTCCGAGAGCAGCATTGTTTTGAAAACAGCAGATATAGTCGCCTATAAGTTACTGGATGTTCTGGGGAGAATACAACAGGTTATAAAATGTACAGTTTTCAAGAAAAGTATTACCTCAAAAGTAAAGGGTTCTTCATTACGACTGCTTACTGTAATACACTTTCTCCCTTATTTAGATTTATTCAGACGCTATAAAGACATCGATTGTGAAAAACCTGTAACCGCTTTGTGTTTCACTTTCAACGGATGTGTCTCACAGCCATAATATCATGCAGCCATAGAAAAAGACACAACAGAATGCTTAGCCGTATACTCAGTCCATGATAAGAAATCGGAGTTCTCGTCAACGCCATAAATGGAACAAGTTAGCGAATTCCGAGAGAGAAAATCAGTAGAAATGAGTAAGAATTAAGACAAGGAATAGTAAACAACGCGACTAAGAACCCAAGAATCTCCTAGACTTAAGAAAAGTTTATTTTGTTTATGCTATACGCACGCAGTCTTGCTATTAGACTTTGTTCACTGACTGACTGATATTAACCACATATGGTCTTTCTATATTCAATGATATCTGACTTCTTAGTAAAACTATCTTGAATAATTTTCTTCAAATTTTAAATAAATAAGGTTTTATTCCAGTTGATTAATCGTTTCTTTAGTATTTTTTAAAATTTTTTTTAAAAATAACCACAGCCATATCCAACAAATATTCAAACAATTGAATGTTCACCATTCAACATTGAACCAATTGAAGGACGTATTCAACCATATTCAACACAAGAATTTATTGTACATTTCAATCCAGAGAAAGCAAAACATTATAAAGATGAATTTTATTGTGATATTGAAGGAGTTACAGAAAGATTAAATCTTTCAATTCATGGAGAAGGTTTAGGACCAAGAATTAAATTTTCATTTAAAAATTTAAATATGGGAAAACTTTTTATTGGTTCAAAGCATAAATATGAATTAGTTTTATCGAATAGTGGATTAATTGATACAATGTTCTCTATTCAGTCTATACATAATGTTAGTCATTATGATAATGAGATATTCAAGGTTTCTAGAGATGATAACAATTATTCCATGGGAAAATTCTCTAAATATTTTCAATTTACACCAGATGAAGGTTTAATTTGCCCTGGAGGTTATCAAGTAATACAAATAGATTTTAAATGTGATAATTTACTTGGAGAGTTTAGTGAAATCTTCAAGTTTGTATTCGATGGATCTTCAACACCTGAAGATATTACATTCAGGTGAGATATCAATTTATTACTGTATTTTTATTTTTACAAGTTGGTATTCATCATGAACTGACATCATTTAGAAGAACACTGAACAGCCGTTTCGTTCTAATATGGGACTCTTCAGCAGTGTGCACCAACAACCCCACTGCGGATCGTACCCACGACCTTCGGGTTCCGTAGCCAGCACGTTACCACTGAGCCACTGGGTTGGAATTCAATGGTTCATATTTTCAACTTCTGTCAGTTCACGACAAAGCGTGACCGCCACCCAATATCATCGTTGAGTATTTTCCTCATGGCCACCAGGTTTGCTCCACCGGTCATGACTTCTCACCGGAACTTCGGGAATCATCTCTCAAAGCTAGTCACGAATGAGCACTAGTTCAAATGAATTTGCCCAAGGAACCTGAAGGTCACTGGTTAGATCCCTGGTGCGGCGGGGCCGTGGGTGTGCATTACTAGGGAATCCCATGATAGGAAAAAACGGTTGTCCAGTGCTCCCAGGTTTCCAATGTTCCTCCAACTGGTAAAAAGAAATCTCTAACTCCCTACATACCCCCAAAATTCTATTACTGTATTGCTGATGTGTCTACAGGCTTATAACAAGTAAATGTCATGCACATTGAGAGTGTATAAAGTGTAACTACTATGTGGGTGCAAGACTGTGCGTTATACTACTTATACTATAAAAGCAGCATATAGATACTCTGACAAATGTGTGGGAAATGATTTTAAATCCAACACACACAGTGCTTGCAGACTCAATGCTCAGGTTAACTAACATATCACACTTCTGTCTAATTTAAGCAAGTATGCATCTTCACAATATTTACTATTTATCAAACAATGAGATATCAGAAAGATAACAATCAATTATCCTGTACTTTGGATTGTTCAATAAAGAGACTTAAGTGAGTCATACAGAAAATTCTCATAGTTTCTACTACTGACTAATATGAGTAGTTGAAAACAATGATAACCAGTCAAATCTGAGTGATCTAAACTGATGAGTAGAAAAGCCCTTCAATATTTAGATCACTGGGATCTGGGTGCCTGATGAAATCTAAAAATCAGTCTGAGTGGTGTCTAATTACTCAATTTCTTCACAGTAGTAGTATATTTCACTAGTTCATGACACTTATGTTTTAGAGATCCGACTTTATGATATTTTCTGATAAATGGTTTCCAGCAGAAACCCTGTCAACAATACAATTGAATAATTGGAAAATAAATCAACTGTGAGAACTATCAACATGGATCATACAATTTGTATATCATTCGAAAATTGAAGACATCTCCTTTGAACATGGATATTAGGCATATTACCTTACTTTGGCTTCATTAAGGAGCATTCATTGAATATTATCATAAACTCGTATACTATCCATAACTTTCCATAAACTAGACTATAAAACGACTTAGAGAAGTTTGTCAATTCGATCTAATTCGCTTTCTTGATGCGATTATCAAGAGAAAGTTAAGAAAATTACGGTTTTTGACTCCTAAATTCTATATGTATTGATTAAATAAATTGCTAAAATGAACTGCTATTGCTTCAAACCTCAGGGTTGTTTATTATTATTATTTATCCCTTCGGTTCCTAGTGGAACATAGGGCTTCAGTAGCACGTCGCCATTTCACTCTGTTCTCTGCAGTCTTTTGAACCATCAGCTTTCATTCTTTCCTCACACCATGTCCGCAATGTCACCTTCTCACAAACAACTCGTCGTTTCCCCTTTGAATTCCACTGGAGAGCCTAGCCTGGCGCGTGATGTCCTCACATGGTCTTCTCAGTGTATGCCCACTCCATCTCCAATTCCTTCCAGTGCATATTTGTTGGGCGACAAGTTCTTGGTTGGTTCGTTGCCAGCCAGCCACAGCGAGTTCCTTGTTGCTTATTCTCATCAATCTGGCCATCTGAGCTTCAGTAACGAGCCAGCGTAGGCAGTTGTTGATGAATGTGTGTAGTTTGTTTGAAGTGATTTTCGTGACGCACCAAGTTTTTCAACCATCACACAGAAGCACTGACTTGACTGAATTGGTGTTGAAAATCCGAATGTTGTTCACGCTTTATGCTGAGTGGAGTGGATTGGAGTGGAGTAGATCTGCACACTGATTTTAGATTAGTGAAAGCCTGTCTTGCTGTCTTTCCGATACTGGCTGCTTTGATGGCCTCGTCTGTGCCACCGTCGCCTGTAGCTGAAACGATGCTGTCTAGGTAGGTAGGTAATTAGGCAGGTGAAAGGGACTACTTTCCTTAGATTTCTCGCATTGATGGTGATTGGTGGTTGTTGCTGATGCTGATGCTGTTTTTGGTTTAGTGTGTTCACCACCTCCGTCTTCTCTACACTCACTTGAAGTCCCGTTTTCACTGCGCTGCCTCTTCTGTCAACTTGTTAGTTTTCGCCTATGGATCTTCGAGTTTGTGCCACAAGACATTGGACATAAATCATCATCATCATCATCATCATCATCATCATCATCATCATCATCATCATCATCATCATCATCATCATCAGCAGCAGCAGCAGCAGCAGCAGCAGAATCGAAATCTTCTTCTGGGGTGTTTTCATCAGTCCAAGCAGTGTATGCCTCTCTTTTTGCTCCTCATGGTTTGCTGCATGATCCAGTCCACCGGAATCAGAAAGACCAACTACGGTAGTAGGTGGTAACCTTGTCTTACTTGTGTCTTCATTTCAAGGGCAACACTGAGCTTTGCATTGTGGACCACTTGGCACTTAGCATCATATAGCATGTAGCTGCTGTTGAATGAGGTTAATAAAGATTTGTGGCACTAAAACCTTAGTGTTGAAGCAGCTGCCTGCCAAGTTACTTCTCCGCCGGCGCTGTCGAGGGCCTTTTCAAAGTGGATGAAGTTGAGGTAAAGATCCATTTGACTTACATTTTATGCTCTGTTCAATGATGCGCGGCGTTGCAATTCGGTCTGCAAATGATCTGTTTATCCTGAATCCAGCCTGTTCGGGTTGTAGTTTTGAATCCAGCGCATACTTCAGTCTCTCTAGGATGATGCGGCATAATATTTTGCTTGCTTGGGGTGGACAGCAGCATGATTCCACGCCAGTTCTTGGAAAGAATTAGATCTCCCTTTTTTGGGAGTTTGACAAGGTAGTGCTTCTTCCAATGAATGGGTAGGTACCTTTTCTTCCTTCCTTCCTTCCAAACTCTCTGCAGTAGTGGTGTGAGCATGTTCACTGCTGCCTCTGCTTCTGTTTTCAGTGCCTTTGGAGAAATTGCATCTGTTTCTACTGCTTTGCAGGATCTCAGCAGCTTTATGGTGTTTAGGAATTCACTTCTACTTTTTTCGGAGGGCATGCATTCCCTGGTAATTCTGTGGCTGGGCTGCTGGTAGTATTTCTGGACGAGTTGCAAGTGGTCTTGGTTGATTGTAGAGTTTTTTTGAAGTAGTCGAGGCATTGTTTCGTTTGTTTCTCCTCTTTGGTAACTAGGTTTCCTTCACTATCTTGCATTGGTTTCGTCTGCGTTGATCTCTTCCCAGATAGTAACCTGGTTATTTGATACAATGTTGTCAGGTCTCTCATACCAGCCTGCAGACTGTTCTGTATCACTTGCAAGTATGCTGTAGAAGTGTTTTTTGTCTTTGAGCGCACTCTTCTTCACTCCTTTGACCATCCCTGCACTGCACCGCACTGATTCATCTCCTGCTTCACCATTTTCCTCCCCTACCCTATCAGCTTCCGCGTGTCTGTCAAGATCCATTCCATGTCTTCTTTCTTGTGTGTTGGTGAATTTCTTTTCTTTTGATTTGAATCCATTTTGTCTCTCTGATTCCAATGAGGAATAAGTCTACTTTTATATTTTCTTTCTGCTTTGAAGTTTCTTTAGTGATTGGATTTGTTTTCATGGTTAGAGTTGCAAGCAGCACACCCGACCTTCCCTCTTTTTCCGGGCTTAGAACCAGCTAGTAACCTGTGGACTAGTCAACCAGGCGAGGTTGTGTTGAATGAATATTTACAAGTCAAAAGTTCCATTCAGATGGTATCTCTCTCTTAGACTGGTAAATCGCGACGCTATCATCATCATCCTAGACAATGTAGTCAGCTCCAGCTGGAAAGGAGTGAGCAATATCAATTTCCTCCCAAGTTGTGTAGATAACTCACCCTTAGAGATGCAATTTTCAACTTTTTTTTAGTTGTATTCGAGTCTGAAAACATATTTTTATTGTTAGTTGAGCTGACATAATCTTTGTATTAGTACTTTCAGTACTATACCATTTGAGTCTATGTCAGTATGGCACCTAAATGATGACTAACCTAGAGTCCAAGTTTCTAAAATTTCCTCTTCCTTTTTTAAGCTCTATTTGTGAATTACTTTTCCATTTTCTCAATAAAAATTCATGTACAAAGTTGGTGAAATGCTTCGATTCTAATCAGGAGCATGTAGTGAAGCCTATTCAACCTAGTGTGATGTTTTTAACATTTGACGGAGCCTATTTCGAACACTTCATACCAATTATTTTTGCTTCTCACTTCATTTTTTTTACGCGGATCAACTACCAGTGAGTAAGAAACTTAGGTGTTTATTCGTCAGTTAATCAGTGCTCAGCACTGATTCAAGTCTATTAAGGGAGTTATGATGGATAGTGGGTAGCAGTGAAATCCAGGATGCACATTCCGTCCTATTTGAGACTTGTCAGGTGAATGTACCTGTCTCCCAGTGAGTGTCGTTCCCAATGCGTTTTGAACCCAGGACTGTTCACTTCAAATATCAGTGTTATCCACTAGACCACCGAGTCACGTTAGCTACTTCTCATGCGATTAGCATAGTTTTAGTATTATTGCGTGTAGTATACTGTTGTATTTACTATCGTTGTATACTATCAATCATTAATGTAATTAAAACCGACAATATTGAGGCATCCGCACAGGAGCCCATATGTTAATAGAGGTTGAAAAATTCGGTCGAATCAACGATGCGATACTACAAACAATAATACTAAAACTGTATCCGTCTCAGAAGAAGTGACTTTCATGGCCCGGTGGGGTAGGGGATAACGCCCTCACGTTTGAAGCGAACTGTCACGAGTTAGAATCCCCATGGGGACAACACTCCGCACTGGGAGGTAGGCACATCCAGTTGTCGAGTCCCAAATAGGACGAAATGCGCATCCTGGATTCCACTGTTAGCTACTATCCATTATTACTATATAATTAAGAGCACAGGTAATATCGAGGTATCCGCACAGGAGGCCATATACCAATAAAGACCTATCAATTCGGTCCAATCAACGACGATATAATACAAGCAATGGTACTATTAAGGAAGGTTACAATAGGGCTATTAAGCTAAGTAACACAACGGTACGTTTTGGCGCTAGATATTAGAAGTCACTCGGGAGGAGGTTGACTTAGGTTTCATATTTACTGCTACTTATCAGGAATGATTAACTGGAACCAAGAAGAAATGAATGTCTTCTTGATGGCTTCGGCTTGCGTCAGTAATTGCCGAAGCTTTAGGACTAAGCTATTTTGTTCAAAGTTAATTCCATATAGGATTATTGCTTTCAAATTCATCTTGCTAATGGTTAATCCCAAGTCTGCCAAACTACTGCTACCTTAAACAGTAAAACTGGTAATCAATACGATACTCCTCCCCGCCTTGTAATACACGTAGATTTCAGATTTGGTTGAGAAGTCCTGATTAGGTAGCTAATGTGAGTTCGAACAAGCGATTTTAAAACGTCATAAATTCATATAGCAGTTAGGTAAAACTCTTAGTGATTGAAGTGTAGTAAAAATCCGGTCTGCAGTCTGGTCTCATAGTTCAGATGGTAGAGGATGGGGTAGGTAACCCATAGGTCTCCGGTTCGAATCCTACTGTAGCCCAAATTTTCATTTCACATTCGTAAAAGGTTCACAATTTCAACTGATAACATGATTTTTACTCAATCAATGATTACCTTCACAAATGTTTCTGATGAAGTACAAAAAGTTGTTATGATTATATCTTTTGTATGAAGAATATCACTTGAACAAAAACTGTCACTTATGACTTACCTGGTGTCATTCATTATTTTATGACCGTCGAAAAATGTGAGTAATTCGAGGATTGATAAATGTTTATATGGTGAGAGGATGAAATAAGTGAATGGGATTGATAACTTTTACTTATTGGAGAGTAATTTTCGTAGGAGCATAGTTTTATTGCTTCGAGAAAAAAAAATATGGAATGTTGATACTTAGTAACATGTATTCATCATTTGTGTCCTGTTGTCATCTTGATGATGTGGGTGTTTAAGAATTCTAGTTAAATCCGATTGCTGACGAAATGTCAACTGGGATACAAGAAACCTGTTTATCATTTGTAAACTTGCACAATCTATGGTGCCGACTAATGAGATATCTCAGTAACCATTACAGGACAAATCTATTGCTCTACAGTAGTTCTCTTCTGTCACTTATGACTTTTAAATACACTAAAATGTGTCATTCATTACTTTATAATGCTTTCTTATGATAATCAGAAGAGAAATAATCTGACTTCTAGATTGTTCAGTTGAATTTCTAGTATCCTTTGAGTTGAACATTTTGCATTTTGCATGTTTTTAAACATTCTACAATGTGTACACATTTCAGAAAGTTGAACCTAACAAGTTTTATTGAGCACAATGAATTTATTGAATTTCCATCAATCTCTCCATACAATTACTAGATCAAGCAAGTATGGAATGTATCAAGTATCTTGAGAAGTTCGAAAGAGATTGTATCTCGTACAAACTTAGATATTTGAATAGTAAAAAAACTGACTTAACATAAAGTTATCAAGTATAGTTGCAATGGAATCTATAAGACGTCTAATAATGGAGTTGAATGTCAATATCGGTTGTAGTTGATATAAGCTGGAATCGGTTGAGTTAGAGACACAGAAGCAACAAATCAGTCGATATTACTGATTATATCTTTACTTTAAGAGTACCTTTCTTTAGCTGTATAATTAACAGACTATGAGGATTATCATAGCTCTGGTTCTGTCTTCGATTGTAGCTAACTCATACAGAAGATAAGAATGTTAGTCGGTTGGATGCAATCGGCAGGAAGCCCTGGACCTACATTTTGTGCTTATTGGCACTTTTCAACAAGCCGTATATGCAGACCCAACGAAACTAATGTCGCACCCAGTGTTTTAGTCAACTATGTTATCACTGAGCTATTCGGGCCACAGCGGACCTTCTGTTGGACTAGCTTAGATACGCTAGAGAGTAACCAGCTTCATGTTATCTAGACTATTCCTAAGCCTGTGACCAGTGAAAGACATGCAGTTATGACGTTCATGTATTGGTAACATATCTTGATTTCACTTTATTAAAAACTACCAATGATATCAATTACTGAGTTAGACAATGTATCTCGCATAAATAACACATACTCAACTTAAAAAAACAATTAAGCTTCACCAACTTTATCACTATTTTGTATAAACACATCAAATAATAAAAACTAAAAAAAATTATTTTTTATTTTGAAAAATAGTGGTACTGTCGTTGGACCAACATTCCATTTCAACGTATCAGAAGTAGAATTCAATCAAGTTTCCTACGGTAAAAATAAGTTGACATTTTTCTACATTAATGGATTGTATTTTTTTCAACTTTATTTATACTACTGTTAGTAGTATATATTTTACAAAATAATTTATCTGCCGCAAATATGACAATTTACAAATAGGGAAACAGTAATGTATTTTGAAGTTAATGGGCGTTTTATTCTTAAGGTAGGATTCATCATCGACTGATGTCAGTTGGAAAACTAGTGAAAACATGGGATCAGTGGACAGCTGTTTCATCCTGTTGTGGGACTCCTCAGGAGTGCGCCACAGAACACCATCGAACTACAGCCCAGTGGCTGAATGGTCAACGCGTTCGTCATCAAACCTGAAGGTCCTGAGTTCTATTCCTAGCTGCCTTATGGGTGTGTAGTATAGAGTATTCCCTTACTCAAAACAATGTCATTCCATGATGCATGTTAGGGATACACCAAGTAAACACAAGTAATTCAGAAGTTGACTAAAATTGAGTGTTTCAAACATTGCAGCTTGACTTGGTAGTTGAAAAATATTTTATTATAACAAAATATATCAGCGAACAACGTGAAAGGGATAACAAAAAGAAAACTGTAAAGGTGAAGAAGAATGAACTAAAAACCTATAGACCAGGTCAATTATAAAGTCTTCCCTGGCCAAGGGCTGCACAAATTTATTTTGAATACAAAACTTCAGATTCTTCATTCGGATTCCTACAGCTCCAGTTATATGTAGAAGGTGAGTTAGAACTTCATCGTAGAGGTTCCGTAAACTACCTCAAAGGCTTTCGTTTTGTTCAGTCCAACCACTATCAACAAGATACAACAAAACAGAGATTCTTATGGATTTAACCTGTCCTTTTCCCAGCCACGAATGTAGATGTTCAGTAATACGTTAAGTCGCTTAGTAGTATGCCGGACATAACTCTCTCACTACGAGCAATTAGGCAGGTGAAAGGGACAACTTTCCTTAGATTTCTCGCACTGATGGTGATTGGTGGTTGTTGCTGATGCTGTTTTTGATTTAGTGTCTTCACCACCTCCGTCTTCTCTACATTCACTTGAAGTCGTGTTTTCACTGCTCTGCCTCTTCTGTCAACTTGTTAGTTTTCGCCTATGGATCTTCGAGTTTGTACCACAAGATATTGGACATAAATCTTCATCATCATCATCATTGTCAGCAGCAGCAGCAGCAGAATCGAAATCTTCTTCTGGGTGTTTTCATCAGTCCAACCAGTGTATGCCTCTCTTTTTGCTCCTCATGGTTTGCTGCATGATCCAGTCGACAACAATCAGGAATCAACATAAATAGTTACAAATTATTGAGACAAGAACGCCGGAGAATATTTGAAGTCTAGGTAAATGATCTTGGTTGTGTTACTTTCTTCAGGTTGGATGATTTCAATGTGATCACAAGTTGTTATCGGGATGAATATTTCAGTTACCAATTGAAATTATACAAACTACAGGGTTGTATAAATTCAATTATCAAGTTGGAGAAAGTGTATTTCGTTTGTCATCAATGTACATTATGGATATACACTTGAATAGTTTCATTGTTATCTTCTATGCAAACATTATAAACAAACCACGATTACCAATCACTGAATGACGCAGTTCATTATCATCGACAAGATGTGGAACCAGTTAAGGGCTTTAAAAGAGAATAATTGGATAAATTTCACTCATTATTTATCATTTACGAACAAATTAAAGCTTGAAATATCTTGATTTAGAAGATGGTTTGGTCAAAATTTTCTTATGATAGACATAAATAGATAAAATCAACTCAGTGCCTAGTATTACTGCGTAATAATCTTAGTTGCTGCGGTTCGTATCATCACATCAAGTTGGAAAGCATAAAGAAGGAGGATAGAGAAATATGAGAGAAAATTGTCAAAGATATAAAAAATCTTGAAACATGAGGGAGGAGAAACTAGACAACAAAGAGGCTTGGCATCATTTAAACCGTTACTGAGTCATTTCACCTAGCATCTTCATTTAATAATTTATTTTGTTCATGCCGCCTCCAACCTACAAGTCTGCATTTCTCTTTATGGCTCAAAGACTGCATAGATTGATGTCATGTTTTAGTCTTGTCATCTGTGAACCTACTTCCGTTTATGTGATGAAGCCGATGGTGACCAAAGATGTATACAACATGATCCAGTCACCTTAATCATGTCCTGTACTTGTAACGACCATTATCCACAGCCATCTAGCAGAATAGAGTGAGCTGCAGTGAAGTACACTCGATCCTTATTAAACATTCGGAAATTTCCGTAGAGAGATAAGTGGGATAATTAATCGAAAGCAAGAGTCCACGCAGAGATTTCATCTGTCACTGACCCATCAATTAAGTGAGATGTTGAATGAAGTCAAACACTTCCCTCCTTATTATTACCCGAGACATCAAAGTAGATTAGTCCTGGGGAAATCATTTCATTTCAGGCGGTGAAAAACGCACCCCAAACATTCCTAAATTATCACTCAAGGTGTTCTAAAGCCTCTGTATTTTGTCACTGTCTTCACTTAAAAGGAATATATCATTTAGGTACTGTAGATCTACTGACGATTGTTTCATAACAAGGCCAATTCTTGTCAAATCAAATGAGTAGACGGAAACTGTAGTAATTACGTCTCACGAATAAAACACTGGGTTGATTCCACTCCTATAAATAATACTGAATGAAATCACCATTTCACCAACTATAAATGAAAACGACAACTTTAGGTCATATACATATACAATATGGCACCCACCGACTGACGCTTAAACTAATAGTTACATAAATGAGAGAGCTAGTTTTCACAGCGTCTTTTTGATAAGATGGTCCTTCTCTTTTTATAACAGGAATAATGAGTGTATCAGATACTTCATATTAAAACTTTTTTTTGTCAATAAACTCTTAATATAGATTCCATACTGTTTTGCACTTATCAAGAAGGTCTATCTGAAAGCTTGATGAACCTAGTACCCCTTCAGAGATACAAATCCTTCATCATCTATAGCTGTAATCATCCAATATGTAAATGATTTTTTGACGTAATATTGAATCAGCTTCGAAAATCTATTAATAATGAATAATGACGGGCAGTGGGATTCAGGACTCATATCTCGTCCTATTTGGGACTAGTCAACTGGATATACTTAAAACCTAAGTGAGAGACGTTGTCCCCACCGGGATTCGAACTCTGGAATCAATGTCTGCATATGCCAGAGAGAAACACAGGCAATATTAAGGCATCTGTGCATGAGCCCATATCCCAACAGAGACATATCACTTGGATCCAATCAACAACATTAACTTCAATAATTGTTTATTTGTATCATTCTGTAAGCACATAGGTTTGTTTTTTATCTTATCTATCTTATATCTTCATTGGGCCGATTTATCAATCCTATTTTTATTCTTTTTTTGTAAAAATATTATAGGCTTTTCACAAGAAAAGACTATAACTCTGCATAATACTTCATTTATACCCATGGATTTTATTCTACGTGTTGTCAGTGATGATATTATCAACGATAATGATGACAACAGTAAAACATTGGATTCACTTACTTTTCATAGCAATAATTATAATGAAAATGATTCATCATTGATAAGTGAACAATGTTTAAACAAACAAACTGAAGTAACATCATTTCAAATTACTCCAGAATGTGGTCATCTTTTAGCAATGAGTCCAATCAATATATCAATACAATTTACTCCAAAATGTTTAGGCTATAAAAAGTATAGACTTATTGTTGATGTTGTAAATGTTGGAAATGACGAGCATTGGATACCGATACTTACTGAGTAAGTAATGTTTTATTAATATGATTGGTAGATTATAATTCCATTTTAGTGTGTTTATTAGATATGTTACACAGTGAAGGAACAGTAACATTTACTGGATAACGTTTCGGACACAATTTACTGTCCATATTCATATCAAAACTTTGAGATAGAGTTTATATAGTCCTAATCTACTCTCCTTCTTTGTGATGATAAGGGTAACAGAATTTACCATATATCTGAGACAGGTGTAGAATCATTTCCATTACTGCATGTATTTGGTGTTGATTCGATAAACAAAGATTCGGTCATTAACCTCACCCTCCCCCCCCCCCCCCAACTAAGTTTTCAATACTGTCGCTGCAGCCTACCCTACTGTGTTGTTGTGTGTAATTACGTGGATGACTATAGCCTAACTTTATTTGGACCTACTAATCCTGATATAAATAAGGTTGTGTGCTCTGTAATTCTAATCGATCCTGGTCGACTACTCCGACCTATGTTGGTTTAAATGCTACCCTAATCCCAGCCAGCGTTACTGAGAATTCCTCGTAATACCTCTGAGGTGCCTTTCTTTTACGGTAACACAGCAGAGGTTTTGAATTTTCCCTCAACCCTGTTACCAATTATTACGCATAGTAGCAGAAGTATCATTAATAAGGCCTATTCTACTACTACCACTGCTAATATTTTTCTTTCGATTTCCTATGAATTTATTTATAAATTTCGGTGGGTAATTTTTAAGACGCAAGGTATTCTTGATATGTTTAATTTCTTGTCATAGATTTTATGGTCTACTGGTAAGCTTTTTCACCCTATCACTTAGGCATTTAACTAAGCCTACTTTAACTGAAATGGGGTGGGAGGACTCGAAGTCTGAATAGCAATTCGAATAGGTAGGTTTCCTATACACCACATTTGTTCTCTAAACTTCCATCTTGTGTTTGTTTACTCTTGCAATCCAACATTATTATCTCACCTTCATCACCTTCTAAGTCACAGGTAAACTGAGTTGTATTCACTACTGAATTTATGTGTCAAAAACTTATTGATGTGTTCCTATTTCAGTGCTGTAAACGTATCATCTACATAACGGAACAATATGTATGAAGTAGAACTAAGTGTTTGAAGGGTTATACATTCCCATTTATTTATAAATATGTCTGTGACAATACGGGATATTGGTGATCCCATGGCAGTCCATACAGTTTGTTTATATATTTTATTTTAAAACTTAAAAACTGTAGGTGCCTGGCACGATTGTACTCCTAACACGATTTTCTTCGATTGACACCCTAGATCAATGTGTAGGCGTAAGTGACATTTCAACCAACAAAATTGCTTACAAACAAACTTTGTAGGTTAAAAGATCCTACTGATACAATTCAGTAAAATAATTTTGTTTCGACAAAACAATAAGAAGACGTAAATTGTCTGAACCGTGTAATGTATTTGCGCAACACATTTCGAACTATCTGATCATACACTTACTTGTCATAGGTATTTATATAAAAACTCATGAAGATAAGGCGTGAGAAAATAAAAAGGGGTCAGGTAGGAAGGCTGACTTAAAAGCCGAATAACAATGAAAATCAATAGGGCGAAAAAATAATAGTACATCGAACTTGGTTTTTCAATAGTTGAATTTACCAAGGAAGGTTTAATGTGACAACAAATTGTTTATGAATACATAAAGGTGGTTTCAACTTCCTAATAGCTAAGGCTTCAACAAATTTCAGGATCCCTCCCCAACATGTTTTGTAAATAGGTGTAAAGGAAGTAGCCACATCAATCTTGTGACCTGTCTCAACGATACGTTTAGCGATCGAAGAGCTTGGACGTTTGCTACCAACATTTATAGGTTTAGGTGATTTGATTTGCTTCTGAAGCCACTTTGGAATATGTTCCGAAAACATGTTGGGGAGGGATCCTGAAATTTGTTGAAGCCTTAGCTATTAGGAAGTTGAAACCACCTTTATGTATTCATAAACAATTTGTTGTCACATTAAACCTTCCTTGGTAAATTCAACTATTGAAAAAACCAAGTTCGATGTACTATTATTTTTTCGCTCTATTGATTTTCATTGTTATTCGGCTTTTAAGTCAGCCTTCCTACCTGCTCCCTTTGTCTTTTCTCACCCAGCTGATCTTCATGAGTTTTTTATATAAATACCTATGACAAGTACGTGTGTGATCAGATAGTTCGAAATGTGTTGCGCAAATACATTACACGGTTCAGACAATTTACGTCTTCTTATTGTTTTGTCGAAGTTTATCAAGGGAACTAATTGTTTTAAATAATTTTGTTTACCAAATCCCTTGGAATGATTGCAAGGTCAGATTAGTTGACCACAGTCAATTAGAGTAATAGAGCTCAAAAGCTTTGCTAAATCAACATCAGAAGATCCTAATAAGGTAAGGAATTTAGAGAAAAGTTCGGCTATAGCCATCCATACAATCATACAGTAGGATGGGCTGGAGTGATAGTACTAAAAATGATTCTTCACTTGTCTCAGATATATGGAAAGTTCTATTACCCTTAGCATCACAAAGAAAGAGAGTAGATTAGGACTATATAAACTCTTTCTCAAAGTTTCTTTCCTGTTTGAAGGAGAATCATTATCAAAGATGTATATACAAAAGTATTTTCTCTCAGAATTCTTTCTCATTTAGTCATGATCTGTCAGTTCTATGATCTTCAAAGATGTAGAAGTTTTTATCGTCCGATCAATCACTTACTTTACTAATTTTCAAACCAAAAGGAATGAAATTGTAAATACTACATTACTTTAGGCTGGATAGTGACATGTTTGGTTAATAATTCAGAAGCCAAATATGTCCTTCGCTTGTATAAAATTAGTAGTTAAATGCTTATAAAGTTGTTTTCACTACCTGGTGTTAATATTTATGTATTTATCGGTGGAGTGTACGTAAGTGTAAATGTGACGCAAGTAGTGCCTCATCAAAAACAGGAACTATGACCAACAACATTAGAACTTCTGTCAATGTCTGAGTTGTCGCCTACATTGACTAATCACTGGAAGGTAACCAACTTCATGTTACCTAGTCCTAAGTGCTGGCTAGTTTATATCGATCATTTTGCTATTTGGCCACCAAGTTAGCGGATTTAACATGTCGGTGCACAATGACTGACTCTAGATAGTTGGAGGGAGTCACCTAATATCAGTCACAGTCCATCTCTGTGATGAATCTGCTGGCTTCAGACGAAGTCAGTTACGAAACTGATTACTCTTCAGTAGGTAATCAATGTGTCTAGATACTTTGATAATGGACATAGTCAAGCTGAAAAGGAGTTCACGATGCCTGATAATATGAATCATGTTACATCAATGGATGAGAACTATATTAACCCATCCAATATTCATCACAAAATAGTAAATCATGCAGACATTCAGTCAGATCATGTTGATGAAAACCGTGAAGTACTTGTCGAGAGTTTGCAAAGTGATATAACATGTTAATTACCATCCAGGCTTTCTTCAACTATACCTAACAATAAATGTTCACAAGGACTTCTCTAAGAGCACCAGTGTTCGCCAAAACGTAAATATCAAAAATTGCACAGATACTCAAATGAGTTCAATCTCCTTATACGTTCATCAATTAACATATTTGCTTCGTGTGATAGTGGATTACTTTATCAAAGAAAATTTATGTCCATACAAGTAAATGGACAAGAAGATCATCTACAAGACAGCTCTACTTCAGATATTACACCCACTAATCAACAGGTAACTAGAAAACCTCGAATGCACCCAAACTCACAGGTCACTGACTTGTCTTTCCTTCAAATAACCTACTCAAATTGAACTCGGTTGGGTTTAGAGAACTACTAAATGCCTTGAAAAAAATCTAAATCTGTCACAATTTGCTTGTTGATTATATGGATTTACATAACAGATCTTGATATTCATGTCTGTGATTGGAGTATCAAACAGCTTTTGAGGTTACTTATCCATAGACAATAACTTAACTCCATGGGACCCTAACACCATGAAGGTGAATAATAAACACAAAAGAGGGAAGGTAACTGAAAGTAGTAGAAGCTCACAAGAATAGAACACAATTCAATATGACAGTTAAGATGAAGATAAAGTGTAGATACGTCTGCACTACTGAGATTCATTCTAAACCATATCACCTGGAGTCTCGATTTAGGTTATCGCATTTAGAGGGAAATCCTCTTGTGATAATTCCAATAGAATCGTTGTCATGAAAATATTGCATTATATTCTTGGTCCCATAATGATCATACGGTTGATTTAGGCTCGAGGACAGCAGACCAGACAAAGCCAGGCAAATTTCAAAATTTCACTTTCAACAACTTCTCACTGGAACTTCGTGAATCACCTGTCGAAGCTAATCACTAGTGAGCGCTAGATTAGTTCTATCTGAAGGTTTGTGGAGGTTTATTGACTGATTTCAGGTTGGAATTCATCATGGACTGATATCTTTTTGAAGGAACATTAGAAACCCAGGAGCAATGGACAGCTGTTTCGTCCCAGTATAGGACTCCTCAGCAGTGCGCGCCCATGACCCTGCCCCACCCCGCCCCGCCCCGCCCCACCCCACCCCATCCAACCAGGGATTGAACCCAGCACGCTACCATTGAGCCATTGGGTCAGAATCTAATGGGCCACATTTCCTACTTTTTTCACTTCACGATATAGTGCAACCTTTATCCAGTATCGTCCTTGAATAACTGCCCTCATGTTTGACTAGACTGGTGACAACTTCTCATTGGAACTTTGGGAATCACCTCTCAAATCTAGCCATCAATGAGCGCTAGATTAATTCTATCTGAAGGTTTGGGGATTCTGACCCAGTGGATCAATGGTAGCATGATAGTCATGAAATCTTAAGGTACTGACTTCGATCCTTAGCGGGGTTATGGGTGCGCACTACTCAGAAGTCCTACACTAGAACGAAACAGCTGTCCATTGCTCCCAGATTTCCAATGTTCCTCCAAATGATGTCAGTTCATGATAAATTCCAACGTAAAATCAATTAATAAACTTCCACAAACCTCCAGATAGAAATTTTACTCTCTGTTAGGTCTTAGGACATACAGCGTTCACTTACTAGCGTCTGACAATGGCTGTTTTTCTTGATCTGAAAGCAGCATTCGACTATATCAATTATGAGGTCTTTTATTAATATATCTCACCTAAATGTGTCTTTTTCTGAGAATGCTAAAGAGAACAATTTGTGTATCGATCAATTTCTGTTGACTACTTTCAACCGCCTAGTAGTATGAAACATGTATTTTATTATTATTATTATTATTATTATTATTAGTCGCTTGGGTTCCTAGTGGAACATAGGGCTTCAGTAGCACGTCTCCATTCCACTCTGTTCTCTGAGATCTTTTGAACCTGGTTCCACGACAGCCCACAAGCTCTCATTTCCTCCTCGCACGATCTCCTCCATGTCACCCTCGGACGTCCAACTCGTCGCTTCCCATGGGGATTCCACTCGAGCGACTGGCATGACGCGTGATGTCCCCAGTCGGCCTTCTCAGTGCATGCCCAATCCATCCCCACTTCCTCCTGCATATTTGTTGGGTGATAGGTTCTTGGTTGGTTCGTTCCCAGAGCTCTTTGTTGCTTATTCTTATTATTCTGGCCATCTGATCTTCAGTAGCGAGCCAGTGTAGGGAGTTGTTGATGAATGTCTGTAGTTTATTGGAAATCCCTTTCGTAACACGCCAAGTCTCTGAACCATACAGGAGCACTGACTTGACTGAATTGGTGTTGAAAATCCGGATCTTGTTCCACATGCTGAGTGCAGAAGATCTCCACACTGGTTTCAGGCTAATGAACACCTGTCTTGCTTTTCCGATTCTGACTTTGACATCCTCGTCTGTGCCTGTGCCGCCTGTAGTTGAAACAGTGCTGTTTAGATAAGTGAAGGAGGTTACTTCCTTTAAGTTTCTCCCGTTGACGGTGATTGGAGTTTGTTGTTGTTGTTGTTGGTGGTGGTGGTGGTGCGGTATCTTCATCACCTTTGTCTTCTCTATATTAACTTGAAGTCCCATCTTCGCTGCCTCTTCTGTCAACTTGTTAGTTTTTGCCTGTAAATCTTCAAGTTTATGTGACATCAGGCACAAGTCATCGTTGGCGAAATCCAAGTCTTCTAGGTTATGAAACATGTAGTGTTATACTAAGTTCCTTAGTTGTCACAGTATAGTAAGTGACTGACAGATTTTGTCTGTCATGGGTGATTATTGTGATATAATGCTGGAAAGGTAAATAATACAATGATGACAGATTATACACTATAAAGTCAAACCTTTTTGCTTGTTTAAAGAATGGCTATCGTAACTCAGTAGCCTAGTGGATAGCCAGATAGATGCTGAGTTCGCATTCAAAATAGAAACAATATCTCTTAGCAAGTGAAAGAAGAATTCAACTGAAAATTAGAAATAGAAAGAAATATACCTACTGGACTCTAGTGCTAGTCACTGTTCATCATCAATTTCAAGACTATCAATGTTATAAAAAGAATATCCCATAAATTGTGTTAACATGTGTATATATTAGGGTAAAATAATTGAAAGTGTATTGTTTCTCTCTTCAATTATAGAGCTATTCGACCAGAAATAATTGTAACACCAGAATTTATAAATTTGACAAGATGTTTTATAAATCATCCATATGTTATTGAATTGACATTAACCAATAAATCGACACAACCAGCTAGTTATCAATTTATTGAACAATCCTCAAGATTAAAAGAAACCAATAGAATGTCCACAACAATAGATGATTCTGAGTATTCCAATGAAAATAAATTACAATATTGGACAAATAATTCAAAGGTAAGGGATATTATCTTAAAGAATTTATTTTAATGAACACTTCTAAATTTTGTGGGAAATTTAAATCATTGACTAACTTCAATCGAATTATTATTTTTTCCCTTGGGTTCCTAGTGGAATATAGGACTTCAGTAGTACGACTCCATTCCACTCTCTTCTCTGCATTCTTTTGAACCTGGCACCATGACTGCCGACAAGCTTTCATTTCTTCCGCATATGATCTCCTCTATGTCACCCTCGGCTTAGATGCCCAACTCATCGTTTCCCATGCACGTTCCACTCGACAGCCTGACGAACTTTAACTGATTAGTGATTAGTAATAAAAATAAGTTGATGAGTTGTTTGATAGTAAAACTTCAACTGTTCTATCATCTTTCCAACCTTTAAACTTCTTTATATGATTCCATTAGCCTAGATTTTGATTTCTTCGTTAGCTTTCGTTGATTTCCATAATCAAATATATGGAGCAAGTTGACGATAGATTAGTCTATCCTATGTTGAGTTAAATCATTCCCAGTACTTTTAAGGAAAGTTTGAAACAATGCAGAAAAAAGTTTTCTTAGAATTCCATTTTACCCATCTAGTATCTCTACATACGCTGGACCGCGGAAAAGAACCTAGAAGATTTGAATTTCGTCAACGATGACTTGTGTCTGATGTCGCACAAACTCGAAGATCTACAGGCAAAAACTAACAAGTTGATAGAAAAGGCAAGGTAGGGCAACGAAGACGGGACTTCAAGCGCACGTGGAGAAGACAGAGGTGATGATGATACCAAACCAATGCCACCACCACCAACAACAAGCTACAATCACCATGAACGGGAGAAAGTTAAAGGAAGTAGCCTCTTTCACCTACCTAGACAAAGCAGAATGGTTTCAACTGCAGGGTGTGGTGGCACAGACGAGGCCGTCAAATCAGCTAGTATCGGAAGACAGCGAGACAGGCGTTCATCAACCTGAAACCAGTGTGCAGATCTACGACAGGGATTTCCAATAAACTACAGACATTCATCAACAACTGCCTACGCTGTCTCATTACTGAAGCTCAGGTGCCAGAATAATAAGAATAATCAACAAAAAACTGTGACCAGGCAACGAACCAACCAACAATCTATCACTCACGAAATATGCACTGGAAGTAAGTGGAGATGGATTGTGCATGCACTGAGAAGACTGATTGGGGACATCACGCTTCAGGCTAGGCTGTTGAGTGGAACCCAGATGGGAAATGGTGAGTTGGGCGTCTGAGTGAGATTGACATGGAGGAGATGGTGTGTGTGAGGAAGAAATGAGAGTTTGTGGGCAGTGGTGGAGTGAGGTTGAAAACATTGGAGAGAAGAGAGTGGAATGGATATGTGCTACTGAAGCTGTATGTTCCACTAGGAACCCAAGTGACAAATAATAAGTATCTCTACAAATTTCTAGTGGTGTTATCTGCTTCCTGGTAGTTAAAAGTGAAATCCATAGAATGGACCTTCGAATTCAACGATTGATGGTTTTCATCTGTACAAAAGGTGCATGGACGATAATTTTACTATCTGTGAACATCGAAATGATTTGAATTATGTTCTACAAATATTCAGTAACTGTCATTCAGCAATTAGATTCACGTTTGAGATCGAAAATCGGTGGAAAATCCACTTTTTTGATATAGAACTGACAAGAACAGCTGATGGAACGTCTAGCAGTTCAATTCACAGAAAACCAATATGGAATGGTCAATTGACCAATTATAATAGCTGGGTTTCATATGAGTCGTAATCGAAATCTGATCATGCTCCTTTCCATTCACATTAAAGGAATCTGCAGTCCCGGTGTGTTAGAAGAGGGAAAATCTGTTCTAAAGAACATTCTGATTGAAAACAGATTCCCACCACGCTTCATGGACAAACACATCATACCTAAACCTCTCAAGAAAAACCTTACCACTGTGCCAAAAAAGATACTCTATATGAATCTCAACTTCAAAGGTTAGTTTTACGCTGACAGTCTAAAGAGGAGGGTATGAAACGCTCTCAGGAGAACACTCTTTGCATCAAAACTGAGACTAATATTCTCATATCGCCCAGAGATTTTTAACAACTCAAAGGAGAAACTTTCACATCTGACCACTTCTATGTAGATATATCAATTTACCTGCTCTCATGAAACTAGGTAATAGGTCGCTCGATGCGACTGTTATCTAAAAGGGTTCAGGAACACTATCCTGCATGGTTACAAACAGGTAACAATGGAGAAATGAGGAGTGCTATACTTGAACACATGGTGAACACAAATCACTCTATCTCAAAAACCTTCTCGTTCAAAGTCATCTTTAAAGGGAAAAGAAACACCCCGTAGACTGTGTATCTTTGTATTCTCTGTATCGTCGAAAGTCTTGACATCCATAAGGAGAAACCTGAACTGTATAGGCAAGAGAAGATTGTTCAACCCCTTCTTCAACACATTTCGAACTATCTGATCATACACGTACTTGTCATAGGCATTTATATAAAAACTCATGAAGATAAGGGGTGAGAAAATAAAAAGGGGTCAGGTGGGAAGGCTGACATAAAGGCCGAATAACAATGAAAATCAATAGACCGAAAATAATCGTACATCGAACTTGGTTTTTCAATAGTTGAATTTACCAAGGAAGATTTAATGTGACAACAAATTGTTTATGAATACATAAACGTGGTTTCAACTTCCTAATAGCTAAGGCTTCAACAAATTTCAGGATCCCTCCCCAACATGTTTTGTAAATAAGTGTAAAGGAAGTAGCCACATCAATCTTGTGACCTGTCTCAACGATATGTTTAGCGATCGAAGAACTTGGACGTTTGCTACCAACATTTATAGGTTTAGGTGATTTGATTTGCTTCTGAAGCCACTTTGGAATATGTTCCAAGGCCCTTACTTGCATGGATCTATTAGTCCTCCCTATGTATGTGTCACCACACGTACATTTGAATTGGTAGATACAATGGGATGTGACATTATAGTTCATATGCTGTGGGGGTTTGGGGGAATATAAGGGCTTCGTGGTTTCGATTACTCGAACCCTGGCTGCATAGTAAGTCCTTCTAACAGCAGCGTTAAGTCTCTGCTTAAGAATTGCACTCTGAGAGTCACCTTTGTACGGAAGGCTGATTAATTATTAATTATTAATTATTATTATTATTTTGATTAATATTCACTACTAATCAGTTTTTGGTTTTTTATTTATTTTAATGACATTTCATTGATTGACACTATTTGTGTTGTCATGATTGAAAAACCATTTTTAACTAATAAATCCTTACACTACAAAAAGGTGTATAACCTTGCGATTGTGTACAGCTTTAAAAATGCAATCGTTAAAAAAAGACTGTTCGCTGATATACTTACTTATTCTTGTTTCTAATCCAGAGTAGGCATATCTTCCTACTTTGTATCTGTTAGTTTAATCTACTTGTATTCCAGAAAGTAATAGTGTCCTCATTGAGTCTTGAATACAGCCCTTATCGCTTCAAATAATGTAATAATGATGCTTGAGGTGATATCAAAACATCCATTTTAGAAGCTAATATGCTAAAAACAATCGATCATTTCTGTTGAGTATAACAATCACCAGGAAATTATTACTACCAATAAGAAAGTATGTGCCGGTTACATATTAGATAGTGTTTTGAAAATTATAGCGATGAAGTATGGATTAGAGTTTTCAATTGAAACACCATCACTCACTAGAAATCAGGTACACCTAGATGGCAAGTGTAAAGTGGGATTCAAGTCACCTCTTGAATTCTACTGCTAAAGACCAATAGGTAAATTACCCCATCACGAAGCTTTCAGTAATAACACATCATTTCTTCAGGAAGCCGATGTACTAAACAAGACTAATTGGTTCATTTCAGTTTAACAAATAGCTGACAATTACAAGTTCCTCGTTGATACTGAATCACTGACTGCTGAATGGTCGAAAAGACGAAACGTCTATCATAAACTACTGGCCAATTCTTCAGATTTATTTATTATTGAACTGAAGATACATCCCGTTCTTTCTTTGCCAGCCTGCCAGACTGGGTAGTGTTCGCTGGCACGTTTTACAAGCGAATGCATGGTACGATCGATGTACGCAGCTCCACAATACCAAGTAAACTGGTATATACACATTGATGTAGCCCAATACGTTGGCTTATCTTTCTCACACTGATCAAAACGTTTCTTGCAGAAGAGAACAATTCGAAGGTTGGAGGTGAAGTATTTAAGGATTTTGACAGTCGTTTTCTGAGGATGTTTGCAGCAATATCATTTCTGAATTCAGAGTTCAATAAAACAATCTTTTTCAGCGGAAAACGATTTCCTGCTGAAATTTTATAGATAAGAACAAAAATCCAAAGAACCCAACTAAACGAGCACATTTGGTGCCAAAAAAGATTTTTTTTATTGAACCTTGAATTCAGAAATGATATTGCTGCAAACATCCTCAGAAAACGACTGTCAAAATCTTTAAATACTTCACCTCCAACCTTCGAATTGTTCTCTTCTGCAAGAAACGTTTTGATCAGTGTGAGAAAGATAAGCCAACGTATTGGGCTACATCAATGTGTATATACCAGTTTACTTGGTATTGTGGAGCTGCGTACATCGATCATACCATGCATCCGCTTGTAAAACGTGCCAGCGAACACTACCCAGCCTGGTTGGATGGTTAAGGTAGGACGAGAATGTATCTTCAGTTCAATAACAAAACACCTCGTGAACATATTTATTATTTGAAGACTTTAATACCTATTCTTATTGAGCATAAAAATTAAAGGAATAAATTGATTTTATTTAAGAGTACTCATTTATAAAAACTTATGGGTGTTGGGTGCTAAATTTCATCCAGAAAACATGTGATACTAAATTTAGAGGTTTTCGGTAAAATAATTCATTTCAAAAGAGTTCCAATCACACTTCGACATCACTATGGAAAAAGTTGAAAAACTTAGAAGGTTTGATGATTGTTTCGCTCTGGTTTAGGACTTCTAAGCAGAGTACACATAGGACATTATGTAGGATCAACTCAGGATTATCAAGTTTACGAAAAGCTCCATGTTTTCCAACTCATACCGATGAAAGATATAGCATGACCATCACTGAATATCATAAGCAGTCTTTTGTCTTCAAAAAAGATTTCTACTTCACTTAGCGTCATTGTTTTTTACTGCTGAAGAAACGTAAACTGGGACGAAGTGGCTATCCATTATCCACAAGTTTTTAAATAATTCCCTACATCATGTCAATTTACGTCGGAAACTCCATGAAAACTTCTGTATGATTTCCTGCTTATTAAACCCTAATATTCATAACACACTTGGCTACTGTAGTGTATGAAAACTAATTTATATCACAGAGATGAATGAACCTATCAAAAAGCTAAAATTTGTCTATTTCCAAGACACCATTGGTTTCGAACTATGATTTCGCGATCAGAGCTAATCAAAACTATTCGTTTTAACTACAGTATTGTTTAAGGCATTTTTATACGCGTTTTTAGTTATACCCAACTTAATTTACTTGCATAAGGCTTGAAAACACATTCTGAGTGCACTGCAGTGTAGTAGATCTCCACACTGATTTCAGATTAATGAAGGAACGACTGTCTTGCTTGCTTTTCTGATCCTGCCTATGCCGCCTGTAGTTAAGACAATGCTGTCTAGGAAGGTAGGTAGGTGGATAGGGGTGGGAAGGTGGAAGGGACAACTTCCTTGTAGATTTCTCCCGTTGATGGTGATTGGTGTCTCTTGTTGTTGTTGTTGGCGGTAGTGGTGGTGTTGACTGGGTGTCTACATTACATCTGTCTTCTCTACATTCACCTGAAGGAAGTCCCATCTTCCCTGCCTCACCTCTCCTTACCACACCTCACTTCTTCAGCCAATTTCTTGGTTTTCACCTGTATACCTTCGAGTTTGTGCGACATTTAGACATTAAACACAAACCATCATCGTCGGCAAAATCCGAATCTTCTTCTGCATTGATTTCATCGGTCGAACAGCGCATGGCCATCTTCTCACTCCTCACAGTTTCTTGCATCATCCAAACCTATTGCCGCTTGCTTCCAATATAAGAACAGTATCCATTATGCTACCTACCGACTCTTTATATGATGAGTAAACTTCAGTGTTATAGTTCCGCAGTGTTGATTTGTCTGAACTAAATTGTTTGATTACTTTGATTATTTCGCCTCCTGTAAAATCGTATGAGTACTACAAATAATTTCAGTTTGATAGTAATGATATTATTTTTTATTTATTTGTCCCTTGGGTTCCTCACGGAACATAGGGCTTCAGTAGCACGTCTCCAATGCGACCTGTTCTCTGAAATCTTTTGAACCTGGCTCCACGACAGTCCACGGTCTCCTCCATATCACCTTCACACGCACAACTCGTCGTTTCCCATCTGGGTTCCACTCAACAGCCTAGCCTGAAGCGTGATGTCTCCAGTCGGCCTTCTTAGTGTATGCCCAATCCATCTCCACTTACTTCCAGTGCATATTTCTTGGGTAATAGATTGTTGGTTGGTTCGTTGCCTGGTCACAGTTTCTTGTTGATTATTCTTATTATTCTGGCTATCTGAGCTTCAGTAATGAGACAGCGTAAGCAGTTGTTGATGAATAACTGTAGTTTGTTGAAAATCCCTTTCGTAACACGCCAAGTCTCTGATCCATACAGAAGCACTGATAGTAATGATAGTTATTAGCAAACAATAGAACCCAGGATGTATGTTTTTGAGATAACTGAAGTTACCGGCAGCATCGATGCATCCACATAGCAGCGTATACGTCGATAGTAGTATATCACTTTGATGCAGACCAGGCAATGACGTTAAACTGAGTAGACTAGAAAAACCATTAACTAATGTATCTGATGGAATAAGCTTGACCACACTCACTGACATAAAACATACTTTAACGCTTACAAACTCTCTTTCTCTCTGTGTTCAATGGTCTTCTGTTAGGAGTACAGATAATAAATGCAACCACAATATATACTGAATTACTTATCAATAGTTTAAACTATCTTCTAATTGTTCAATGTTTTCAAGAATCACCTCATAAGGCAATATCCATTTTTACTGTCTTCGCTTTTCTTTATCTTATAGGGTATTATAAGTGAGTCAAATTCAGTGAAATTATCAGTGACATTTAAAGCAAAAGTGTTGGGATTAATTCTAAATGAATTACGTATAAAAATTTGTGGAATCGATGAAAACCCTTTGGTAGGTATTTATGAAATCTGCAAATATTCTATTGTCTGTAACATGTAATCACATATTGTTTTTACCGCTCACCACAGTATATTATTATTTTATCATTTGCCCTTTAAAATTCTAAAGGGAACATACAGCCTCAGTAGCATGTCGCTATTTCACTCTCCAGTCTTTTGAAACTGCCTCCACGACTGCTTATACGCTTACATTTCTTCCTCATACGATCTCTTCTATGTCACACTCACACGCCCAACTCATCGTTTCTCATTCGGCTTCGACTTGACTGCCTGGCCTGGCCTGGTCTGATATGTGATGTCCCCAAAACCGTTTTCTCAGTGTATGTCCAATCCAATTCAATCCATCTCCACTTTCTTCTGCATATTTGTTGGGGGATAGGTTGTTGGTTGGTTCGTAGTCAGTCCAGAGCTCCTTCTAACTTATTCTTATTATTTCTAGTCATCTGATCTAACCTGATCTGATCTGATGTTGAGTATCGAGTGAGTGAGGGTAGGCGGCAGCTGTTTATGACGCGTGTGTGTGTGTGGAGTTTGTTGGAAATGCTTTTCGTAACGCGCCAATTCTCTCAACCATCAGATGGAAGCAGTGACTTGACTGACATGAGTGTTGAGAATCTGGATCTTGTTCATGCTTCATTCTGAATGAAGTAGATCTCCACACTGATTTCAGATTAATGCATGAATACCTGTCTTGCTGTCTCTCCGATCGTACCTTTGACATCCTCATGTGTGCTTGTGTCGCCTGTAGTTGAGACAATGCTGTCTAGGAAGGTAGGTAGGTGGGTGGGTGTGGGTAGGTGTGGGTAGGTGAAATAGACAACTTCCTTGTAGATTTCTCCCGTTGATGGTGATTGGTGTCTCCTGTTGTTGTTGTTGTTGGTGGTGGTGGTGGTGGTGATGTTGGTTGGTTGGGTATCTTCACCACATCTGTTTTCTGTACTCTTACCTGAAGGAAGTCCCATCTTCCCTGCCTCACCTCACCTCTTTTGTCAACTTGTTCGTTCTCACCTGTACACCTTCGAGTTTGTGCAACATTAGACATTGGACATAAATGATCATCGTTGGCGAAATCCAAATCTACTTGTGGATTCCTTACATTGGTGCAGTCAGCGTATGGCCATCTTCTCACTCCTCACAGTTTTTTGCATCATCTAGTCGAGTCGACCACAATCAGGAAGATCATTGGTGATGATAGTAAGCGGCAAGCTTGTCTTACTTCTGTCGAAACTTCGAAGGCATTACTAAGCATCCATTGTGGATCACTTGGCATGTAGCACGTAGCAACATATAGCATATAGCTGTCGAATGAGGTTGATGAAAGTTTGTGGCGTGGTGTTGAAGCATCTGCCAAATTACTTTTCGGTTGACGCCTCGATCGAAGGCCTTTTCACCACAGTAACTAACTTTATTTTTAGATCAAGCTATTGTGTAGCAATAGGTTTACGTTGTTACTTTTGTATTGTAGATATCCGGGTAATAAATAACCAGTTAGTAGAATCCTGGTGACTTTAGATGTTAGCTTGTCGCTGATCATCAGCACATTATATTCGTGGTGGGCATAAAATTAAAGTTCCTCCAGATGATAATATCTCATTTCTACTGATATCACAATTGATTACCTTTCAAGTAAACTATTTTGTCTGCAATGAATCACTCAGTAGACTATCGTAAGCTTATGAAAAGGCCAAATTAGTGAAAAGTTACAACCCAAATTGGGAATCAAAGCATATCGACTTTATCTTTATGTCAAGCTACTCATAGTATGGAAATATTTTACATGTCAAATGATACAATATGGAGAATTATTTGACTTTTAGTCGCTCAAAATGGTGTAAATTAAGGTAAAAAGTGAAGTGATAATGAGTCGGAAATGTAGAAATGCATATTCTTGAAGTACAAACAATTTTTACGCTAGAAACGTTCTGTAACTCTTTTTAGGTGACAAGATAACTCAACAATAGTTAATAGATGGAGGGTAAGTCTATAACTATGGTTTTGAGTTGATATTCGTCACGGAATAGACCTTTCCTCTTGGGATGGAATTCCTTAGCAGCCAGCATCTATGAATCCTTGTGCGATGGGAACCAAGATTCTCAGGTCTTACGGAGAGTACGTTGCCACTGAGCCGTTGACTTGGAATCCAATGTTTTAAATTTTCCTACTCCTGTCAATTCACCCTACAGCACAGCCTTTATCCGATTTCATTGTTGAGTATTCATCTTCACTTCCGAATAGGCCCGCTCCAATCGTCATGGCCTCTCATCTAGAAGTATGCCACGAATGAGTGCTGTGCAGTAATTCATTTCGGAGGTTTTATATGGGCTAATTAGTTTCAGGGTGGTATTCATCACTGATTGTTATCATTTGGAGAACGGCGGAAAACTTGGGGGAACTGCACAGATGTTTTGGAATCCAGTGATCCTACCTAGTGATTGAAGGCCTTGATTTGGATTTCTGGTGTGGTCATGAGTGTGCAATGCTGAGGAGCCCCATAGTAGGACAAAGAAGCTGTCCAATTCTTCTATGGTTTCAATGGTTCTGTCACTAATTTCACTCCGTGATAATTACCAACCTGAAATTAATAAACGCCCCATAACTTTAAGCCGAACTATGATTTCAGAGCCACTTATTGTTTCTACCACTCAAAGTTATCCCAGAAAGCCTAATCAATAGCCGTTTAGATTCGCGTCAGTCAGGCAAGTAGTGTAACGCCTTCAAGTTTTTGTCTTCCAGTTAAAGTATGCAGTACCGTGCTTAAAACAAACTATAGGTCTTGTAAGCAATTCAATTCGATGCCTTACTTTATCCAGTACCTCTTCTATCAACATTGCACTGAGCTGGAGCGATTGGACCCTGTGTTATATATACTCCAGTAGCCTAGTGGATAACGTTTTAGGATTGGAAGTAATGGATACTGGGTTGGAACCTCACTTGGGGTGCAGGTACATTTAGCTGATGAGTTCCAAGTAGGACGAAACGCGCATTCTGGATTCCACTGCTGTCCACCAAATAGACTACGTTGAACCTAGTGACGACTTTGGTTTCATTTTGACTCAGTCGTCATCTGTTTTTGAAAACAAGTACACAGTCTATTCACTTCTTGCCTTTTATACTTTTAACAATCAGAAAATACCTGTACGATGCATCGGTGAAGGTCCAGTACTGCATGTTGAAGAAACTAAATTGGATTGGGGAACAATACCTGTGCTACAACCAATTGTTAAAGTATTGAAAATTTCAAACGAATCATGTATTGATGCACATTTTACTACTAAAATGGTAAGTTGTGCGTAATAATTATACCTTCTTTTTGAATATAACTTACTCCATCAGTAATTATGATGCTGAGCAGCTGTATTCAGCGAAAAATTCTCTTTACTGGTGTAGATTAATTGTCTGGGATTTATCATCGTTCTGTATGCAGCATAATTTTGTTTACACTGTGACTATAGGAATAAACGTGGATATTGAAAGAACTGTAACGTTCTAGGTGCCGGGACCGATAAACAGATGGACAAATGAATCAATGTAGAACCTTGCACACAATTACAGTGGTTCAAGTTGCCGCACTTCACAATGATATGTAAATAGTAGGTGAATGGATATGGACTGATGAAGTTATATGAGTGAATGAATAGTATATTGATAAAATATAATGAAAATATTCAAGCCTCAGAAGATGTCGAAGACTGAATACATCTACACTGTAGTGAACAATTTTCCATCATTTCATCAACAGTTCTTAGCCATTGATTTTTATCTTTTCGGCAACTCTACCTAGGTGGTCTAAACCTCCTAACACGGATCAGACAAACAGTCAAAGATTTCATCAACTGATGACATGTCTCATTGACTTTGAAAAGGCCTTCGAAAGCATCAACTGCTTCAACACTACGAAATACCACAAACCTTTATCAATCTCATTCAACAACTATATGAAGACGCCACATGCCAGACAAGTAATTCACAATGGAAAGCTCAGTGATTCCTTCGAATTGAAGTGAAGACAGGAGTAAGACAAGGTTGTCTACTATCACCCATGATATTCCTGATTGTGGTCGACTGGATCATGCAACAAAATGTGAGGAGCGAAAAGAGAGGCATACACTGGTTGGACGGGGGAAACGATCCTGGAAGATTTGAATTTCGCCGGTGACTTATGTCTAATATCACACAAACTCTCAGATCTACAGGCAAAAACTAACAAGTTGACAGAAGAGGCGAGGCAGGGCAACGAAGACGGGACTTCAAGTGAACGTGGAGAAGACAGAGGTGATGATGATACCCAACCAATGCCACCACCAACAACAAGCTGCAATCACCATGAACGGGAGAAAGTTAAAGGAAGTAGCCTCTTTCACCTACCTAGACAAAGCAGAATGGTTTCAACTGCAGGCAGTGGTGGCACAGAAGAGGCCGTCAAATCAGCTAGTATCGGAAAGACAGCAAGACAGGCGTTCATCAACCTGAAAATAGTATGGAGATCTACTGCACTTCACTCAGCATAAAGTGTGAACAACACCCGAATTTTAAACACTAATGTTGGTCAAGTCAGTGCTTCTATGTGATGATTGAGAGACTTGGCACGTTACGACAGGGATTTCCAACAAACTACAGACATTCATCAACAACTGCCTATGCTGTCTCATTACTGAAGCACAGGTGGCCAGAATAATAAGAATAATCAACAAAAAACTGTGACCAGGCAACGAACCAACCAACAATCTATCACTCACGAAATATGCACTGGAAGTAAGTGGAGATGGATTGTGCATGCACTGAGAAGACTGATTGAGGACATCACGCTTCAGGCTAGGCTGTTGAGTGGAACCCAGATGGGAAATGGTGAGTTGGGCGTCTGAGTGAGATTGACATGGAGGAGATGGTGTGTGTGAGGAAGAAATGAGAGTTTGTGGGCAGTGGTGGAGTGAGGTTGAAAACATTGGAGAGAAGAGAGTGGAATGGAGATGTGCTACTGAAGCCTTTTGTTCCGTGAGGAACCCAAGGGACAAATAATATTAATGATATGTCTTGATTCCGCCACGCGTAACCTTTTTCTAACCTAATCCAACTTCTCCAACCATTCAACGTCCAGGAAGGCGGTAGCTCAGATTGTGCAGCGTATCTTCAACCCACTTCAGTCGCTGAAGGTTTACAACCTTATCGACGGAATGGCCTGTTTTGGTTAGTACTGTTCACCCAACCGTGACATTATTGATCTGCTGATTCCACCATACACAAGCGATACTTCGAAGGCGCCTATAGTCAAATATCTGGAATCAATATTCAATGTCTCCAATATTTAACGATCATATATTGCAGCCATAAAACAGGATAGAGTAACACCGATTGTAATGTCTTCGTAATGAACCTAACAATAAGTTAATAGCCGAAATTGTCTCATTGATAATTGAAAGTTTGTAATCCGCTAAGATTTCTCAACAGATGTTTTTTTTATTATTTTCTAGTCGATTATATGTAACCTAATAACTATTGGACTTCACATTTAGAAAATTGTAGTTTTTAGAGTGGTTCTAAAGGCCATCCTAGCAACTGCTAAATTAGATATTTGACGTAGAGAGGTAGTTTTTCCATAAAATAAACAAGCCTAGTTGGTTATCTCAGGGGTAACCTGGTTGGCCTTTAAATTCATTCATTTTTTGTCCTAATTTTATACATGCTTTATAAAACTTAGTATTATTGCTTGTATTTTACCGAAATGATCTATCTCTGTTGGCACATGGACTTCTACGTGGATGCTTCGATATTATCTGTGTTTCACATTATACAGTAATGATGAATAGTAGCTAGCAGTGGAATCCAGTGAAGATGTCCATTTTGTCCTATTTGGGATTCACTGTCTCCCAGTGAATGTTGTTCTCACTGGGATTCGAACTCGGGACCGATCGATTCAAACGCTAGAGCATTATCCACTAGCCCATCGAGCCACGATAGCCACTTCTTGTGCGACGCGTGTAGTTTTAGTATTATTCTTTGTATTATCCCGTTGTTTATTGGACTGAAGTGATCGGTCTATATTGGCATATGGGCTCCGGTGCGAATGCCTCAATATTGCCTGTTTTTAATAATATAGTAATGATGGATAGTGCATCCTGGATTCCACTGCTAGCCACTGACCATCATTACTTTATAAAACTTAGTTTCCTTTGCAAAAGTTTCTGGAACAAGCCTTAGCATAGAATGATAAGGTAGTCGAAATATTAAATGTTTATAACCAAGAGGATGTAAACGTTTAACATATTTACAACATTGGTGTAAACAGAAAAGTGGTTTATTCCACAATCCCTACATATCAATAGGATTGTTCAGATACGAAATTAGTAACTACTATTTCTACAGCTTTCCAAACAGTTCTGTCAGTTAGAAACGCTCAAAACAGACTGGCATTTTGAGCAATATAATCTCATTAATTGACCGTTGTAGGATAAAGTCAAAGTCTCGAGATATTTGGATGTCAGAATGTTAAAGGGATTGGCCATGTAAGAATAATCAAGCCACTGAAATTCATTACGAAATTTTTATCAACTACAGCTAAAATAATGCAGAAATTTATTTCGGAAACTGTAGTTAAGATTATTTTATGTAAGCCAGATTGCCAAAAAGATGAGAAGGTATGGCATAGAAGTGCTAGGAATCTGCGAAGGTGGATGGAATAGAAGTGGACTCTCCTAACTGTCAACTGGAGAGTCAATACTGTACTCCGGCACTGTCACCCAGAGGACAATCACGAGCACACTTAGTTTTGAAGTAGCTATTATTATGTCTCCCTCCCAAGAGCATCGAAGGCTCTCTCTCTCATGCAGTGGGAACTAATCTCCTCCTGCTTGATGAAGATCATGGCAGCAAGATAGATTCAACTCAAAAGGAAAGAAAGTCACAATCATACAATGCTACGCTATGCACCTACAAATAATGTAGGTCAAGAGAAGAAGGAGGAATTCTACAGACAACTGCAATCAACACTGAACAAGACGTCAGTTGGTGACATCGAAATTCATTCTGATGGGTGACGTGAATGCCAAAGTGGGAGTGGACAACACAGGAAGAGGACCAATCATAGGTCGAGAAGCACTCGATGAAATGAATGAGAATGGAGAACTGTTTGCAGATTTCTGCACGTTCAACGACTTGGTGGTTGGAGGTAGTGTGTAAAAACACAAGGATATTCACAAAGCGGCATGGATTTCACCAGACCCCAGACACTAAAAGTCAGATTGACTTTATGTCAGTGTGAAGAAAGTGGAGACGCAGCTGACCGGATACAATATCAAAAAGGGGAGCAGATTTAGGTATTTCACACCACTCACTATCTAGTGCAAGGAACCTACCTACAAAATCAAGTTGGAAGCCTTCACGGTAGTTGCTGACAGAACATAAACTAACTGAAGGGTGAAACTACAAACGACATCTACACGTCTGTCATGAAGACTAAATGGTAAGCATTAAGCAACATCCCTGTAGGATCGGGTGAGGAAGAACACTGGAATTCTTTGAAAGAGATGTGGAAAGAAACCTGCATAACTTTATGAGGAAGGACGAAGAAAGAAGGCATAGAATGGATCTCGACGGTCACATGGAAGCTGATAGAGAAAGGAGAGGAAGATGGTGAAGCGGAAGATGAACCAGTGCAGTGCAGTACAGGAATGAACGACAAAAAAGGGGAACTGAGTACAACTTATAAAACACTACATTGGACAAAGAAGTGAAAAAGAGTGCAAGGAAACATAAAAGACACTTTTACGACATACTTGCAATCGAAGCAAAACAGGCTGCAGGCTGGTATGAGAGATCTGTTAAAACTACATCGAATAACCAGTTTACTATCTGGGAGGGAAGAGATCAACTCAGATGAAACCAGCGAAACATAGTGAAGGAAACCTAGTTTGTAAAGAGGAGAAAAAAAGGAAACGATGGGCTGCCCACTTCAAAAAGCTCTTGAATTGATCACCATCACCAAATCCAACTCGTCCAGAAATACCACCGGCAGCCCAGCCACAAAATTACCAGTGAACGCAAGCCCTCTGAAAAAAAGAAGAATTGAAGTCCTGAACGCCATAAAGCTGCTGAAATCAGGGAAAGCAGTAGGGCCAGGTGGAATTCCTCCAGAGGCACTGAAAACAGACGCAGAGACAACAGCGGACATGCTCACATCACTACTGCAGAAGGTTTGGAAGAAGGGCCACCTTGTCAAACTTCCAAAGAAGGGAGACCTAAGTCTTTGCCAGAACTGGCATGGAATCACGCTGCTGTCCACCCAA